TCCTTATCGTTTGAACCCAAAGTATAATAGTGATAATCATTGTACCTACTCGCTTCCGCTACAATAACTTATTGTCATAATGTCATATTTTAAGTAATTGGACCATTAGTGTCACATGCGCAATACTCGCGAGTAATCCCCTCGACCCCATTAAATACCTATTAAGTATGGAGTACCGACAATTTGTGACAACGGACACACAACAATACGATGATGTCTGATTAGACTGGTTTGCGATTAGGTATTAACAGATACGAGCGTCTAGAGAGTAGAGACCATACTATTTTCTATGTTATAACCTCAAATATTTTTCCAATTATTTCCCGTGTGATAAGTTTGCATGGCATATCTATTATCTATGCTAGAGACTGAGAGTGCCTATTATATTTTGGTAAGAACTGTCGGTTTGTCGGGTTACCAATGTAATACGAGTAAAGAAACAAAAATCAATTAAACGTAGTAGTTAATTATATTTAAAACATAATAATTCAGTCAGAGTAAAATAATACAAAAAATTTAATTACATAAATTAGCGTTAGCTGCAGGTTAAAACAACGTGTTTTATTTACAGGTTATTTGCAATTTTTCGGCGTTACAAAAAAAAGATAGAAACGGAGCGCGATGTATATACGACGACGTACGTCCGAAAAGTGAAAGTGAGTGTGCGCAGTATACAATGTTGAAAGATAGAGGGGCGCAGCTGGCAGCGGCTGACAAGCCGGTACCGCGGTTACATTGATAAAATTCTTGTGGTCGCCACACTACTCCCCCTGAGGGCGAAAAGAAAAACGTACACGTTTTTTGGGCTGCTTGGCGACTTCTGCGTGCGCTGCGTATGTGTGATCTGCGGCTGCGGGATCTTCCCTGAGCACGAACGCGGGTTTGAGACGGTCGATAGACACCAAGACTGTGCCGTTGTCGCGTTGAATTTTGAAATTCTTGTCATGTCGTTCAAGCACTGCGAAAGGACCTTCGTATCGTGGTCGCAAGGGTTGTTGCACTGCGTCGACTCGGAGGAACACGTGTGTGACCTTGTTCAAATCTGCCGGCACGAAAATGTGTCTTTTGGTAGCGTGGTTTGATCCGGGTGTCGGTTGCAGCTGTGACATCGAGTCGCGTAGGTCCCTGACGAACTCTGGCGGAGCGGGGTGGAACATATCACCGGGTAGTCGCAGTGACATACCGTATACCATCTCGGCGGGTGTGTGACCAATGTCTGGTTTGACGGTATTCCTGAGTGCCAGCAGAACAATAGGAAGCCGTAGACTCCACTTGACGGTGTCGTGTGCCGAAAGGGCGGTTTTTAAGGTCCTGTATAGTCTCTCCACCATACCGTTGGCCTGGGGGTGGTACGGGGATGAACTGAGGTGTTGTATGCCGAGGTTTTTGGTGAGGGCGGTGAACAGCTCAGACTCAAACTGACGGCTTTGGTCGGTAGTGACCATGTCGGGGACGCCAAAACGAGAAATCCATTGCGTCGTTAGAGTTGTCGCGACGGTGTGTGCTGATATGTTGTCTATGGGCCATGCCTCCGGCCAACGGGTGAAGCGATCTACACACGTTAGTAAATACTTGCATCATCCGTTAGAAGGAGGTAACGGACCAACTAAATCGATATGTATATGCCCGAAACGGCGATCCGGCGGTGCGAACGGTGTTAAGGGCGAAACAGTGTGTTTGAATACCTTCGTGCGTTGTCATTGTATGCAGCATTTGAGCCAGTACTTGATTTGCTTGTTCATTCCAGGCCAGCAATATCTTTTCCCAATTAGACGCAAGGTAGCACTGCCGCCGCCGTGGGCTTGGCCGTGTAGACCGTCGAAAACAGTGCGCCGGTGTCGTAGTGGTACGTACATTCGCGCCTGTTTCGTCGATGTGTCGAAGTAGATGATGCCTTCAGCGGCGCTCCGCGGATCGAGTTGGAGTGCACTTTTGGTGACACCTGACAGGATATCTTTTAGCTCCGGATCATCGGCTTGATCGGCGGACCATTGTTTAAGATCGGGCAGGATCGCTTGTGTCGCCGAAACTTCCAGCCTCGATAATGCGTCCGGAATAATGTTCTTGTCACCTTGTAGATGTTCGACGTTGTTTATGTATTGTGACAGGAACGTGATGTGTCGGATCTGACGGTCGATAACTTTTTCTGTTTTTTGAGTAAACATATAGGTTAGTGGTTGTGGTCTGTGAGCAGCGTAGTGAGTCGTCCCTCGATCGCGTGTAGGAAATGGCGTGTACCTGCGTATGCGGCAAGCAGTTCGCGATCATACGTGCTGTACCTTTTTTCAGCTCCCGAAAGCTTCTTGGAATAAAAACCCAGCTGCTGCCAACCCTTGTCAGCAAGTTGTTCAAGTACGGCTCCTATGGCTGTGTTAGAAGCGTCGGTACTTAGACGGAGTGGTACGTTGGGCAGCGGGTGAGCCAGTTCTGCCGTATCGGCCAACGCGGTACGACAAGCTTCGAAAACTTTTCGTGTTTCGTCGGTCCATGTCAACGGTCCGTCGCGTTTTTTAATTTTAGTGGCGAGGTCGTACAGAGGTGCCTGCAATTCCGCGGCGTTGCGAATGAAGCGTCGGTAAAAATTTACGGAGCCCAGAAATCTCTGCAAACTTTTCTTTGTCGCTGGTAGTGGCCATTCGTTGATTGCCGTGACGCGTTCCGACGTCGGGCGGCACGCATCTTTGTTGATGCTGTGGCCCAAAAAGGTTAGTGAGTCGGCGGCGAAAACACACTTTACGGGATTAACAGCGATACCGTAATCTTGGCAACGTCCGAGGACTGTGCGAACGTGTTCTTCATGCTCTTCGTGATTACGCGATGCGATTAGCACGTCATCAATATAGGCGAACGAAAAATCTAACCCGCGCAACATGTCGTTGATGACACGCTGGAACGTCTGTGCGGCGTTGCGCAAACCAAAGCACATAACCGGGAATTCAAATAAGCCGAACGGTGTCGTTACGGATGTTTTCGGTATATCTCGTTTGGCGATCGGTATTTGGTGGTATGCTCGGACCAAATCGAGCTTGGTGAATACCGTGCTTCCTGCCAGGTTCGCAGTAAAATCGTGGAGATGAGGTAGTGGGTAACGGTCGGTTCTGGTTACTTTGTTTAAGCGCCGGTAGTCTCCGCATGGCCGAAAGGTGCCGTCCTTTTTTGGTACGAGTAGCAATGGACTGGCCCAAGCGCTTACGGATGGTCGGCAAATACCTTTTTGTCGCATGTACTCAAATTCTTGACGGGCGATGCGATGTCGGTCGGGAGGTAGGCGGCGCGGTCGTGAAAATAACGGCGGACCTGTCGTGTGTAATTCGTGTTCGATTCGGTGTAAGAATTTGTCAGGGACCGGTGACTCGCGTGTGACACTTGGGAAGCTTTTTAAAATATTCAACCACTTTTGACATAACGGCGCGACCTTAATAGCGTCTACATCGGTATCGACGACGAGGATAGCTTTGACGCACTTGCTGGTGTCGCGGTCGATTAAACGCTTGAGTCGTACGTCGACTAGATGTCCAAAGTGGTGTAAAAAATCTGCTCCGATTATCGGTCGAGCGACGTCTGCGGTTTCGAACGTCCAAACAAATTCGCGTGTGAGGCCGAGATTAAGGTGCAATACTCTTGGCCCGTAAGTAGCAATTCTAGTGCCGTTCACAGCGTTCAGCAGTACCTATGTTCGATGCGCGGCGTGGGCTGTTGCCCGGTGGTATGACGGAGATTTCCGCTCCCGAGTCGATGAGAAAGCGTTTACCGGAACGGACATCGGTGACGAACAATCTTCACGTGTGGTGAGCGGCGGGAGGCGCGTCAGCTTCCGCCGCTTCCGTCAGTTTTCCGACTCGTACGAGCATGGGTCACGGCATTTCCGTGCTTCGGTGCCGTAGACGTTGTGGTAGAAACTCCATGCGTCGTTATGTGTGCGACCTGTGCGGGACTTGGAGCGGTTGCGAGATTTAGATCGCGATCTGTCCTGACTGCGAGCTAGTCGGTGTTGTGTGGACTGCGCCGAGACTAATGCGGCAATCTGCGAGGTGAGTACCGTAATCGCGCTCTCCATTGAACGCAGGCGATCAGGTTCATGCGACACGGCTTCTAAGTCATGACCGGCGCTTGCATCCACGACTCGGTCAGCACGCTCGGCCAGTGACTCCAATGAACCGTCGAGACCGGAAACGATGGTGAGAATGGTTGGCGGGAGTTTCTGGAGCCAGAACTCCTTTAGCGTCGACTCGCCGATTCCGTTTGGTAACGCGCTACGCATGTCGCTTAACATTTGCGAAGGACGTCGGTCACCCATGCCTCCGTGTTGGATTATCGAACGGAACCGTGTGGCCTGTGGGACGTCGTACGCGGTGATAAGTCGGCTTTTAACAGCAGAATATTGGACGTCGGCGCCGAGTAGATCTCCGGTGGTACGAACGCCATCTTCGTCCAGTGCGGCGAGTACGTGATTTACGAGTGACAAATCGGATCTAACGAGTTGGTTGTGGAAGATCGCTTCCGCGTGTGTAAACCACTGCTGCGGTGAGTGACGCCAAAATCCGGGTAATCGGATGCAAAAGCGTTTATGTCTAACGGCATAACTGTTGGCACGTCGGTAGGAACGAGAGGACCCGGTAAGACGTTGGCGTTGGCGTTCGTCGGCACGTGTTCGGGGTTCGCACTCGCGTTCGAACTGTATAGAAACTGTATTATAACATCATATTCGATGATCGTTTGTCCGTGACGGATCGCATCAATATAAAATTCACGCCGCGGTATTGTTTTTAATATCCACGCGTACCAATTTGAATTATTTTTTGTAAAGTTACGGCTTAAAATAAAATGCAATAAAATGCAGTTTCTATTCTCCAATGTATAATAAAAATTAAAACAAAATACCAAGTTAAAGTTTAATTTTTGTACCTTATGTTGAGTTATGTAGGTATAAATAAATAATAAATACTTATTTTTTTGTTATATAATAATATAATATACAAATATAATATGTACAATGTGGGTCATTTGTTACCCAATTTATTATTTTTAATTTTTTTATAATTTTCGATATATTCTCTGATGTGCGCAGGTTCATATATGTCGCTTTTCAACAGTCGTTTACTATATTGAGGGTCGATAATTTCCCGAAGTAAACATTCTTCGTAAAATCTATACAACAAACATTTTAGTAGTTAGCCTAAAATAATAAAACCAATTTAAAAATACATACAATTTTAATTTTTTTTTCATTGTTGTACTCCAAAAAACGTTATCATAGTGTATAATTTCTAAATGTGTCCATTCAGGTGTATAAATAAAAAAATAACACTTGTGACGTTCTGTGATGTGCATTTGGCCCTGTATTTGAAAATAATAAAGATTGTCTTTCTTTAATTGATAGACACCGTTTATTTCACATATGTAAGGAAGCTACAAAAAAATATTGATTAGTTTTAATATTATTCGGTATTTAATATTCACACATTTTCTAAGATCAATGCTAATATACTGTTAATTTGTTAACATATTTTACCAACAACATTTTTTTTTGAAGTACTTAACCTTTTTTTCTTGTAAAGCTTGCTCCAAAGTGTCACTGTCTTTTACCGAATAAGGGCATTTTATTTCGGCGATTGAGTTGCTTCCAATTAAACCATCTATGATAAGTGATAACATTATATTGATACATAAAAACACATTTATTTTATGAATGAGAATTAAGATAATATTTATGTAAATTCTGTTAGAGCTGTTAGAATATTATATAGGTACCTGGTGTTGCTGCCAAATATGGTATGAACTTATCAATAAATAGGCCACATTTCTGAATTTTACAGTTTATTTTTAATTCTAGACATTTTAGTGCAGTTTCTTCAGTCTGTTTACCATAAATAAGTGATTTTGAAGTAGGATTATTGTATAAAATATCATAAACCGTGGATTTGCATGATGTCTGAGCCCTGAGGCCGCAGTTTGCAAATTCGACCAAAATTTGATGCGGTTAATCTATTTCTCCTCTCAATAAACCACCTTTGACTATTCGCTTGCTGCATTGTCTCACGTTCCAATGTGTGTCTATCCGCCTCTTTCATAGTCAATGATAAAATAAATTCGTCCTTCTTTTTTTTTATAACAGCATCTGGCAATATGTCTAATAAGGGTTCAGCCAAACCATAAAATTCGTCAGGTCCTTGAAAATTTTTTTTTTTTAATATTTTCCCGATGATGAAAAAAGTGCTCTTCGCATTTTTAAATTTTTTCTTTTGTCTGAAGTATATTTAAGAAATTTGTTCGCTATAATTCCTAAAAAAAACAAGATTAGATAGAAAAAGTCGCGATTGCCTGTTCACTATTTCAGGATTTTTTTCTAGAATTTATTTCATTTTAAATAACACGTTATACCTATATTATTTTATACTATAATGTATAATGTATAGTATTATGTATTTATGTATTCACTAATATAGGTCATAAATAAATGTTTAACCTGGACTTTTGTTTGTGATTTTTTTTATGCATCGTACGAATAAAATTTCCTTTAGAATTAAATGACACAATTTCTGCTTGAACTCTGATGTTGTAGGATTGCTTTTGGCTAAAATTGATCCTCTTGCCTGCTATGTGTTTATTTAAGATGCTGTTAAGTTGTTCGCAATAGTTATTGTCAACGTCATGAATAAGGCTTTTTGAATTGTCAGCTACTCGACGTAAAACAAACTTAATATCGTTCATCAGGCCACATTTGTTAATTTCAGATACCAAGTCCTTCTCATTTAACTTTGGTCCTGAACAGAAATAACTTTCACATTTGGAATGGTGGCCGAAAATATGATAAGGTCCATTTAATATATCGTTCCGTAAACCTAACCAAATATAATTATTTATTACAATTATTTTAGAATAGGTACCTATATTTATACGAAGGGATCTAAATATAAATTAATCCATTTTACCTTCGATTTTTTCTTGCATAGTATCATTCAAATTTTTTCTATGAGTTATCGCTTTAGTCACAGCCGTTCGAAATCTCAATATATTTCTGCTTATAAATTTTCTTAAATAACAAGGATAATCCGTTTTTTTGGTAAGACCCATAAGCTTTTGGCCATAATTTCGTAGAATGTGGTTTCGGCATTCAATTTTTTCTACTAATAACATCGGACCATATGGCATCACTTCATTTAACTTTTTAGTAACACTACTATCGCCATCCCCTATAGAGTATAATACAATTATTAATTACTAGTGCTCGGATTAAAAAACAATACTAATTTAGTTGGTACTAACCGATCAATTTATTGTACTTTAGGCCATGGATTGAAATACTAGACAAAAACCCTTCTATAATTGCATCAGCCTCGATACTTGTAGCACCTTTTGACCAATTTAAAAAACACTCGTGGGAGTTCGGTGATTTATCAAGTACTTTGGCTCTCTCGCATATAACACAGTAGCGGTTACGAATTCCCACAAACAATATTTTTTTGGTTCGATATCCCATGATTGTAGCCTATGATTTAAATTTTTTATTAGGTAATTTATTAAATATTATTATTGTTTATCTATTTATTTTTTTTATTATCTAATAAGTATAATTAACTATAATGAGAATATGAGATATTATAATTTATAAAATTATAATGAAACCCAACCAATACAATTATTAATATTAATTATTTATAATATACTAATATACATAACAATAATATATCAGTTAGAACAAAAACATGTTTAGAAAAAAGTCTACATGGCAATTATAAGTTAAAAAAACAGGGATAAACACCTTAAATATAATATTAGGCTCAGCAATACTATATAGTATTTATTTTATTTCTTACCGCTCCTGATAACGCGTCGTACTCAGGGGCGGACTGGGAGATTGTCGGCCCAGGGGGAAATATAGCTTAGCGGTCCTAAATTTTTTACTATATTATTACTATTTCAGTTGTGATTTTATAAATATTATGAATGTTTTATTACTATAATTTAAAATAAATGTAAATTTTACTTGTAGAACTATTTAAAAAAAATATAAATACCTTTATAAAATACAATTTCCTTTATTTATCTTATGAACATAATATTATGTTAGTTTCATCGATAACAAAAATAATAAATGATTTTTAATTACATACATTTATATTACATAAAATATAGTAATAGAGTAAACGAGTAAAGAATAGATCCGCAATTATTTATTAAGTCTAAATACAAACCAGTTGGAAATTGATCGCATGTCAATGACTAATAGAAATATATTATTAATTATTATTTATTAGTTGACTACTTGACTAAATATATTACAAGTTTATTATTGGACGACCGGCCCAAATTTCAAAATTTAGACCGGCCCAGGGGGATATTTCCCCCAAGCCCCCCTGGCCAGTCCGCCCCTGGTCGTACTTCGTTTCGTAGCTCTTTTTACTCCACTGTCCATCAGCTATGACTGGACACATTGGAATGCCATCTTCATCAATATCACCTACCTCTAATGCCAACCTTTTCTCTTCCATACCGGCTAATCTCATTTCATCCCATGCACTACTTTTTATATCTGCACCTACTATGTTGTTATATTTCAGGTATATTTTAGCGGTCATACATGGTATGTCGATAGAAGCTGTAAGTTCGGCTAGTTGGGTGAATCCTATGCCAGTTGCAATAGTGCAATTTACTACCGCTTTGTTGATGGGAATTATTTCTAGATCTCGTTTTTCCGAGGTAATAACGGTTTTCAGATTACACATTCTACACTGAAATTTCCAACTACACTCGAAACCTTTGGTTGACTCACTTATAAAATCTACATCCATAAATGAACAACCTAGACCAGGCGTATGTTGTTTAGAATTCTGAATTTGGTAAAATACATGATACATATCCACAATGCGGCGCCCTTTGAGATGAAATGTCAAATCACTAAACAAAACACACAAGCCAAATCAAACAGATAAATCATTGTATACGAAGAAAAACGATTCATGAATACTCCATTAAGGCCTATATTTTATCTAATGCTCCCCAGAAAATTCTAAATTTTTCTAGTACATAAGTACATTATAAAATATAAAAAAAAACAGGTTAGTGGATGTCGCTTTGCTGTGCAGTGTTACTACATATTATATAGTGGGTCACTCTAATGCATGGTGTTAAATTTGAATTGAATGATATATCATTGTATACGAATAACGATTCTGAGCAGAGACAGTTTGTCGGTCTAGGATATTTTATAAATTTTTTTTTTTTATTAAAGTAGAAAGAAAATATACAATCTATATAACATAAATACAATAAATAATTTGGATAACAATATTGTTACCAGTCTGTACGGCTTGAGGGAAGGGAGAGTCCATTGACACTACTTCCAATATGAACTTAATTTAAATTTAATTTAATTGTATAAAATAAATGTATATAAAATATATAGATTCGGTTAGTTGGTTAGAAAATCACGTGGCCATTTTCGTTTGAGACGACGGGGATAAATTTATAACTAAAAATAAATTTGCAACCATTCGAGATTTCGATGAATTTGGTCAAAATTTTAACTTAAAAAAGAGTGTGCATACTAATCTTAAATATTTTTAAACCGCATTTAGATCAACTTACGAAAACACACATCATTGTAAAATCAAAACATTCATCGTTCCGCTCAGAATCGAAAATAGTAAAATTACAAAATAAATATCAAATATTCGTGATTATGACGAATTTTGTCAATATTTGAACTTCCAACACTTATATTCCTATATATTTGAATCATTTTTTCATCACTTATAGATCAACTTATGAAACCTTCTAATAAATTTTCAAGTATTTTGACTTGGCCAAAACAATTAAATCGAAATTTATAAACAAATATAGACATTGTATATTATATTATATTACAGACTTACGACTCTATGGTACTATCATTTGAAGTTTCTATCACATGATTTTCTATTGTAGAATAATCAATCTCAGTGAGATCTGTCATCATGATATTTTGTGTAACTGATTGAATCCTGCGATTTAATGTAATATTATAATTAAAATAATATAAAAAAAAAAAATAATTATAACTTACGGGCTTATAGTTTCGTCAAAAATATCAATAGAATTGAGGGATACATCAAATTCTGATATTACAGCATTAATATACATCATAATATATAATAATTATTATTAGTAGATGTATATTGAGTCTATAGACTATAGTATTATTTCGTCTAAAATAAACTTCAACGCCTCCTCAAAAACTTTTTTTTTGTGGGGAGTGATAAACAAATAATATAGAGTATAGACATAGACATAGTAACACTATGTTATATTATACTACTATATTATATATTTTGTACACTTACGACCCTATACTTTCATTTGAAGGTTCTATAACATGATTTTCTTCTGTTGAAGAATCGATCCCAGCGTAATCTGCAGTTATCATGACATTATTTGTAACTGTTTGAATCCTGCGATGTAATTTTATTTAAAATAATAATAATCATAACAATAATAATAATATACAAAACTTACCTCTCTTTTTTGTTATAACGTTTTAGTATTAGATTACGAGAGATTATTTTCTTTTGCGAACGTTTAGTTCGTTTACTTTTGTTAGCTATATTCAAAATATTTAAATATCAAATATGACAATGACGTGTATATTATATAAAAATATCTTGCAATTTGCAAAAGACAAACAAAGAACCGTTGCTATTACAGAGTGACAGTGGCACGATCCAAATCATATAAATATCATTTTCTTCGCAATTATAAAATTACAATATCACGGTGTGTATGTGGAATGAGTCGGTGGGGGAGGTCACACTAATTGCCCTGTTTTCCACTAGGGACAGCACGCACTACTACGTAATATGAAATGGTTGTATAATATATTGAAAGTCTAATAATTATTATTATTATTTATGCCGCCCAGCCGCCGCGCGCCGTTATCTACAATTTTGCGATATTATTTATAGTTCGTCACGTCTGGCGGTGGGCACTAATGACTAAATCGTCAAAAACCAGTTATGGTAGAGTTTGATTCACGAGTGTAACGAGCGTTATCGAACTCTGCCGTTACGGAAACAGAGCAGCACTTGTTGGCCGT